GATTAGTCATCCCATGCACCTGTGTTTCCCCAATCATCCCCTGTATTTAAGTCCCAGTCTGTGCAGTCTGTCTCTGGCGGGTCTACTCGTTGTGTACGTGTGTTTGCGCCAGCGCCCTTTGTGTGGATTTACCCTGTGTTCCTTGTATTAAAGACTTTTGGTTGTACTCCTCGTCAGTGTTGGGGGTAACGCATTACAAGTAAGGTATTCGGTCAATCACATCGCACTGGATAGCTAGCCAATCAGAGCACACCTCGCTTTTCAGACCGATTGTCAGGATCATGGACTGTCCGTGTCATGTTTTGCCCCTGTTTCTGTTCCCTTATTTAGTCATGTTCCTGTCCTCGTTTTGTTAATTAGTTTGATTAGTCATCCCATGCACCTGTGTTTCCCCAATCATCCCCTGTATTTAAGTCCCAGTCTGTGCAGTCTGTCTCTGGCGGGTCTACTCGTTGTGTACGTGTGTTTGCGCCAGCGCCCTTTGTGTAATGCAATATTGTAATGCATTACTTTTAAAAGTAACTTTCCCCAACACTGCTCCTCGTTTCCCTCGTACTCCTTCCAACAGCGTACCATGACAGAAGACCCGACCAAAGACAGTAACCTCCGTGTGTTTCCCCTCCGTTTGTTTTCCTTTTTTTCCTCTGTGTTTTCTTTTGTTCCCGTTGTTTCCATGGATCCCCTCCTTCACCCCGAATTCCTCCTCCTCCTCCTGCTGGAGCAGAGGGACAGATCTCTTGAGGACCATACAAGACTGTTCCGGCTGTTAGCTAGCACCACCAGCTACCCGAGCGACGCACTCTGCTCATTCTATGATGCGAGCCAGAGCGCCGTCGTCCGAGGATGATCCTTGAGAGGATTTCGTTGCCTTCGTTGAGTGGACTCTGGCGAGAAATGGATCACCATCCTACCCCGTGGATGATCTCGTCAGATCCACTCCAGACCCAGAGACCTGCCCACCATCTCCCCGCGATGTGGAGCATCAGCCCGAGCCCACCGTTGACAGAGAGCTATTTCCAGCCACAATACCCGTCACGAGGGAGAAGGCCGCGGACGGTGTGAGCGTGGAGAGGAGCTCCGTCCCCTGCACTGTGGCTGAGGGTGAGCTGAATATGGCCCAGTCCAGAGCACCCTCCAGTGCCCGCTCCTCGAAAGCACCCTCCAGTGCCCGCACCTCGAAAGCGCCCTCAAGTGTCCGCTCCTCCAGAGCGCCATCCTGTTCCAGTGTTCAGCCTAGCGGGGTCTCCCGATCCAGAGTTTGGCCCTGAATGCCCGGAGGCTCACAAATGCCTACCCTCCCACCCGCTCCAGCCTCCTCCACCGCTGTCGTCTGGCAGCCCCTCTGCTCACTCTCAGCCCACCATCAATACGGTCGCCATGGCTGGAGAATCCCTCACCTCCGCCTCCAGCCTCTGAGGACCGGACTCTCTCCACCGGGCTCCCTCGTCCCTCCGGCTTCACCTTGGTCGGGCGTTGACCCACCATCGCCTCAGGACTCCGCTCCTCCGGCTGCTCCTCATTGCTCAGACCCACTGGCTCCATTGGGCTCCTTCCTCCCGCCAGCTCAAACTTGGTACTCAGTCACATGCTAAAAAGTCTCCTGAGTCTCCGGATCTCCGCATCCGCCTCGGTCGCCAGAGCCCTCGGCTCCACCTTGGCCCCCCGGATCCTCGGCATCCCCTTGGATCGTTGGCTCTCCATCTCCGCCTCGGGCTCCTCTGCCACCTGCTCCGCCGCCGTTGGTCGGGACCCTGGAGTCGGCGGCCATTCCTCCCACTCTCAGCCCACCATCAATACGGTCACCGTGGGTCGACATTATGGCTGTGGCCTGGGTCCAGCTGGGCTCCTCCTGCTCCAAGCCCCTCCTGTCTCCTCCCTGGCTCCTCCCTCCATCGTCTCCTCCCTGGACTCTGTCTGCCGGCCCCCTCCCGGACATCCGTCCTCCTCCTGAGCCTCCTCCTTAGTTCCCACCCCTCTGGGAACCTCTGTTGTTCTACGGTGCGAGGACGCATCTTCCGGGAGGGGCGTAATGTCAGGATCATGGACTGTCTGTGTCATGTTTTGCCCCTGTTTCTGTTCCCTTATTTGGTCATGTTCCTGTCCTCGTTTTGTTATTTAATTTGATTAGTCATCCCATACACCTGTGTTTCCCCAATCATCCCCTGTATTTAAGTCCCAGTCTGTGCAGTCTGTCTCTGTCGGGTCTACTCGTTGTGTACGTGTGTTTGCTCCAGCGCCCTTTGTGTGGATTTATCCTGTGTTCCTTGTATTAAAGACTTTTTATTGTACTCCTCGTTTCCCTCGTACTCCTTCCAACAGCGTACCATGACACCGATGAGCTTTGTAAAAATCGGCGCATTTCAGAAAGGTGGGGCATAAAGGAGAAACAATAATGTACAGTATGTGGAAAATACTGTGTTTTTTTTTTTTTTTACCCTAAACCGCATAAACATATTTCATTACACCAAATACACAAAATAATCTTATTTTTTAGCAACGTCATATGACCCCTTTAATTTTTCTGGATTCTGTTTTTTTTTTTTTTTTTTCATTTTTCTGGACTCTGTTTTAACTGTTAAATTAAATTGTAGTAATCAAACAGCAGATCTAATTAATTGAAATAATAAAACTTATCAAATGTAACAACAATTTATTATTTATTTATTTGTACAATAATAGGACCCTATGAAATGCTATCTATCTATGTATTTATTTATTTATTCAATAAATTCTGTGTTGCCTGTTTTAATTTTTTCTGGATGTATGATTTAATACAAATTTATTATCAAAAGTGGTGGAAACAAGAAGAAGGTGTCAAAACATTAACTTTCAAAATATAATCAAATGAAAATGTAACTATTAATTTCATTTTTTGCCAACAAAGTGCTGCACAACAGATGTTTACTGTAAACTTACAGTTTTTCTCGATTGCTTAAACACATTTCTTGACATTGTGACTCCTTTTCTCGAAACTCTAAACACAAATCCATAACTTCTCACCCAATTCCCCATACTTGCTATTTTCAGGTCAAAATAAAGCTCTCCACTCAAAACTTTTCAATCTTGCTGAAAAAAACAAACTTCGCCCTCAGACATGACACACAAGCCCTCAGAAACACACACACAACAACATAGTCTTACACACTAATGAGATCAATTCATAACACTTGCAAAAACCTTCTTTTGGCAATCAGGTATCATTTTACAGCTCAATGTCTATTACAGTATGTGTGTGTGCGTGCGTGCGTGCGTGCGTGCGTGTGTGTGTGTGATATTTCGATAGTTTTCTCAAATTAAATGGTGAATTGCTGGTGAAGTGACTGTAAGTCACAAAGAATGAAATGCTGAGACTTGAGGTTAAACATCAACATGTAGCCTCCATAAATTCTCAATAAAAACTTTTGTGGACGTCTGACAGAAATAAAGTAAATCTGGGGTGCGTTTCCCAAAAGCATTGTTAGCTGGTAAGTTCTATTGAACTCTATTGATAACGACGGAACTTGCAACCTTAGTTGTTTTTGGGAAACGCACCCCTGGTTAGTAATGAGTGAAGCTGCTGCTGCTGTTTGTGAGTTGTTTCATCGTCCTCTGCTGAGATCTTGAGAGATTTAATGTCTTTTTATATATTATTTTTATATTTTATAATGTCAGTACTTTTTTGGCACCAGCTCCTCCTCTGCCATGCTGCTAGCTCATGTTGATTTTTTTCCCCTTAATACTTCACCACACATGAAAGTGAAAATGTTATATATATATATAATAATATATATTATTAAATAATATAAAATAATTTTGTAAGACTTTTTAATTTGACTCAATAATTTAATTATACAAAATAAATAAAAAATACAATGCAATAAAGTAACCACACTTTTATTGAAAGTAAAACAAAAAATTGGACAGAAAATATATTAATATTAAATATAAATATATTATTTTTATTCAGTTCTATGCAACAGAATCAGATTTAACAGATTTTGTTTGTTTGTTTGTTTGTTTAATTATGCAAATACTCCTGCAAAGCTATTATTATCAGAGCATGTGAGCAGAGCATAACATCACGAGAGGGTAGCATCATTTTACCAGCGTTGCCCAGTACAGCTGCACTGAAAATGTGTGTAATTTTCTTTCTTTTTGTTCCTCCTTTCTTCATTTTCTCTCTCCATCTGGCAGCTAATGTTAATATGAGAATGTATATATGTAATGCCTTTTGTTCATTGTATCTCATGTTCACCTCATGTACATTATATTGTCGCCCTCTAGTAGAAGATTTAAATGATGCAGATCAATTCACTTGAAGGTCATTTGTCCTTATATCAAGAACATAAAACCTGTTTGAGCTCTCAGTATCAGACAGTGTAACTGCACTAGGTGGCGCTCTTTCAGTGTGATTAATGTGATGTTCAGTCAGTGGTGATGGTGGGAGGAGCCAGTAAAGCTGCTCATTACTGATAAAGAGCTGAATAAAGAGGAAGTAACTAAAGCAGACAGATGTAGAGACAGAGAGATTCACACAGAGATCATTCAGCATAAAGAAGACTGAACTCAACTCACAATGAAGATCCTCCTCATCTTCCTCACTTTCTACCTGATCTCAGGTCAGAGCTTTTCTCTTTCATCACTGCAGTAATGATGCTGTTTTCTGTTCATCAGCTTTCTGATCACAGTATCAATCTGATTGACAGCTGCAGTGAGATGCTTTAGCATCACGGGATATTCTGGAGGAAGTCTTCTTGTCGATTCTGGGAAACTTTGGTTCCGTGACTCTGCTAAATATATGGCCAAATTACCTGAGTGGAGAACAATAATAAATGATACAAAACATAAATGGATTAAAGAAGGACGATTCACACTTTACCGAAACAATGAGGGAAACCTAATGATCTACATCAGAGAACTGAACACACAAGCGTTTCCATTAGGCGTATTTTCAATTCGCAATTTCAATTTGCGCAATTTGAAGGGTAATGGAAACGCGCCTATTGTAGAACATTTTGTCTCTATTTAGTATAACTACTGATGAAAGCATATGCTAAACATATTTCACTATTTTGTGAATGACAGGTTCATGTTGTAAAGTGTCAAAGAGAGTGATGGTGAATATTGGAGAAACTGCCAATTTCAGCTGTGAATATTCACAGAATCATATTACTGATCCCAAGATCATATTCAAAGAAGGAGAAGACTCAATTGAGACGATTTACAGCAGATGGAAGAAGAAAGAAAGATTCAGTATTTCTGATGACGAACATAAACACATCTTCAGTGTGAGAATCACTGCTGTGACACCAGATGATGGAGGAGTTTATTTATGTGGAGTTTGGATCAACAGAGACTCGTACAGTTACACAATTTCAGCTGTGAATATTCACAGAATCATATTAATGATCCCAAGATCATATTCAAAGAAGGAAAATACTCCATTGAGATGATTTACAGCAGATGGAAGAAGAAAGAAAGATTCAGTATTTCTGATGACGAACATAAACACATCTTCAGTGTGAGAATCACTGCTGTGACACCAGATGATGGAGGAGTTTATTTATGTGGAGTTTGGGACTACAGACAATCATACAGTTACTCCATTATTAACACTGTTCATCTACATATTATGAGTGAGTAATAGAAACTATCAATGTCTTCTAGAAAATAGTATTTGCTTGTAGTATTTGTGAGATGTCAAATTTGATAAATGTGATTCAGTCAGATATTTCTGTTTGACAGATAAGTTGAATGTTTATAAAGTAATCGGCTCCTCAGACTGATGATCAAGTGTGAACATCCTCAATACAAAACCAAAGCAAAATACATCTGTAAAGAATCAGATAAATCTTCAGCGAGGAATAATCTGTCTGTGTGTGTGTGTGTGTGTGTGTGTGTGTGTGTGTGTGTGTGTGTGTGTGTGTGTGTGTGTGAGTTTTTCTTTCGATTTTTATGCAATTTCTCTCGGTTTACAGATGCAACGTTTGTGACTGAATCTGTGTATCTTGGTGGAGAAGTCAACATCACCTGTCAGGTCCCAAAGAAACATAAAGTTAATTTATGCAAAGAGCTTGATGATCACATCTGCCAAACCATCAGTTCATCTAAAGTGACAGAAATGAATCCTTCATCTGAGAGAAATGAAGAGAGAGTTGTTAGAGTGAGCATCAGTAATGTGAGTGTGAGAGATGCTGGAGTTTACTGGTGTGGAGCAGAAACCAGAGACACATATCTGACTTTCATCTCCCTGAACACTAAAATTCAGGTCAACCTCATCAGTGAGTCCATTCAGATGATTTTAAGTGTAACTTCACTGATTTTCGAACCACTTTTTATTGTTATAATGTCGGTTGCATATCTAAATGAACAATATTCACTTGTTCTCTGTGTTTCGTGGGCCAATAAATGTTTTGTTTTATTTATAAGCAAAAGTCAAAGCTCCGGGGCTTTTGTGAACAGATTATACTTCGGCATACAGATTAGATTTTGGCATTTTTGTATCCATGCCCACAGACATTTGGATCGACAGAGGATTATTAACAAAATGTTTATTGTAAAAGTAGTTCCCCTTCTAGGGAACTCAACACTGCGCCCCTTAGGGGGCACATTCGGGAATGCAGCCTGCATGACCGGTGTCTGAAGCACGTGTGAAACAACGCCAATCTATTGGCCCACCTGTCCCATGATGTCCCGGGATTCCCGGAAGTATAAAAGGGCACCTGCTGAATACGTCATCCACTCTTTGCTGTATTCAGGAGCCGTCTGTTTGAAGTGCATGTGATAGACCAGGGCAGGTGAGCGGTGTGGAGAGTGTGTGCCTCCGTTCCAGAGGTTTCTGGCACTTGAGGATGCGCACAATCTATCTGTCATCTGTTTTTGGTGAGGAGCTTGCACATTCAGTGCTCGAGGGCTCTAAACGCACTCATTGTGTGTGTTATCCAATAAGAAGCTCCATTCGCATTTGTCCCTCTTCTCGAGAGATGAGTGACAAGTGGTTGCGTCTCGTGGTTCGGGTCCCGCTGTTGCTGAGGCACGGCGAAGACTCGGATTGCGGGATTCACGGGGTTGAGATGCCCTTTTTGGGTTATCGGATCCCGCGAATAGTGCTCAAGTCGAGCAGCGCCTTAGGGAATGTGTGCCTCTGTGTTTGGATTCTAACACTCGAGGGCATTTTCTGCTTTTGTGTTTGTCTCAGCAAAAAGCATGCACGTTCAGAGTTACGCGCTCATTGTGATGAGTCACGATGTCTAGGCTCCACTCGCATTTGTTCCTATTCCCAAGGGATACGGAACAGAGCGTTTATGTCTCGCGGCCCGGTTCTGCCGTTGCCGCGGCACAGTTTATCTCACCTCGCGTTCATCGTTTTGATCTGCGGCATCCGCACATACTCTCTATACGGGTTGTCAGATGCCACAGATATTGTTGGGTTGTTATGATGATGAAGTGTGAGCACGGATTCGTTTCAGCCCTGATCCTGCGAGATCGTGGGCGGACCTATATTATGGGGAATATCTTTTTGCTCTGGAATTTGGCGGTCTGAGGTTCAGCTATATTCTAGCCTAGATTCTAATAACTAGGTCGGGTTCCCCTGGGCACAAGTTCTCGAGTAAGTGCTGAAGCCTTTATTTAGGAATCTGCTATTCGAGGATAGCTGTGTTCCAGCGCGGAGACCGCTTTCCTTTTTAGGGTTTTTAGATTGTGGTCTCCGTGAGCCCCTTGCCTGGACTGTGCTGTCTCCCCTTTGGGGTTTTAAATAGATGACCCACTTCCGTGGCCTGGGCAATCTTCAGCCTTATCTGAGAGAACTGCTATTCCAGGATAGCTGTGTCCAGCCCTCTAGTGCTATGGCTACTGCTTACATCAGGCTTGATCTCAGACTATGATGTTTGTGTTCGCTCTTTAGCGAATCATTTACTGATGGTCTGGATCTCTCTCTTGTGAGATCTTCTAGTCAATAGCATGGTCCTTTGCTAGCCTACTGTGGGACTGACACGGACTGGGGACCTCCTTAATATAGCCTTCTGAGGTTGGTTATATTCCAGCCATTGTTTTGGCAGGATGGGCTTACTTGAATATAGCTACCTGTGGCTAGGATAGCTATGTGCTAGCTCAGTGATCGCTCCCCTGCTTAGGGTTTTTAAGTAGCGGTCTTTTAAGCCCTTTCCTAGACAGTGTTGCCTCCCCTCTTTGGGTCGTAAGTAGACAGTCCACTCTTTGTGGTCTGGTGGTTTCAGTCGGTCCCCCGTTGTGGTAGCCCTTCCTAGGTACATAGCTATCTGAGGATATCTGTGTGCTAGCTCAGTGACTGCTCCCCTTTTTAGGGTCTTTAAGTAATGATCTCTTTGAGCCCTTGCCTAGACAGTGCTATCTCCACTACTAGGGTAGTAAGTAGATAGCCCACTCTATGTGGTCTGGGCAGCTCTGTAGGAAGACTATCTAGGCTCTGATGCGGATTGGGGACCTCCTTAGTATAGCCATCTGAGGGTGGTTATATTCCAGCTATTGGTTGGGCTTACCTGAATACAGCTATCTGAGGCTAGATGTGTTCCATTGCGGCTGCGGTAAGCCCTCTAATGGAGTGGTCCCTTTTCCTAGAGCCTAGCTATCTGAGGATAGCTATGTGCTAGCTCAGTGATCGCTCCTCTGCTTAGGGTTTTAAGTAGCGGTCTTTTGAGCCCATACCTAGACAGTGCTGTCTCCCCTCTTTGGGTCGTAAGTAGACAACCCACTCTATGTGGTCTGGGTAGTTTCAGTCGGTCCCCCTTCTGGTAGCCCTTCCCACATACATAGCTATCTGAGGGTATCTGTGTGCTAGCTCAGTGACTTCTCCCCTTTTTAGGGTCTTTAAGTAATGATCTCTTTGAGCCCTTGCCTAGACAGTGCTATCTCCACTACTAGGGTAGTAAGTAGATAGCTCACTCTATGTGGTCTGGGCAGCTCTGTAGGAAGACTATCTAGGCTCTGATGAGGATTGGGGACCTCCTTATCCCCCTTCTGGTAGCCCTTCCTAGGTACATAGCTATCTGAGGATATCGATATGCCAGCTCAGTGATTGCTCCCTTAGATAGACAGGGGAGATAGACAGTGCTATCTCCCCTGCTAGGGTATTAAGTAGATAGCCCACTCTATGTGGTCTGGGCAGCTCTGTAGGAAGACTATCTAGGCTCTGATGCGGATTGGGGACCTCCTTAGTATAGCCATCTGAGGGTGGTTATATTCCAGCTATTGGTTGGGCTTACCTGAATACAGCTATCTGAGGCTAGATGTGTTCCATTGCGGCTGCGGTAAGCCCTCTAATGGAGTGGTCCCTTTTCCTAGAGCCTAGCTATCTGAGGATAGCTATGTGGTAGCTCAGTGATCGCTCCCCTGCTTGGGGTTTTAAGTAGCTGTCTTTTGAGCCCTTACCTAGAGAGCACTGTCTCCCCTGTTTGGGTCATTTGTTTTGGCAGGATGGGCTTACTTGAATATAGCTACCTGTGGCTAGGATAGCTATGTGCTAGCTCAGTGATCGCTCCCCTGCTTGGGGTTTTAAGTAGCTGTCTTTTGAGCCCTTACCTAGACAGCACTGTCTCCCCTGTTTGGGTCATAAGTAGACAGCCCACTCTTTGTGGTCTGCGTAGTTTCAGACGGTCCCCCTTTGTGGTAGCCCTTCCTAGCTACATAGCTATCAGAGAATATCTGTGTGCTAGCTCAGTGACTCCTCCCCTTTTTAGGGTCTTTAAGTAGTGGTCTCTTTGAGCCCTTGCCTAGACAGTACTATCTCCCCTGCTAGGGTAGTAAGTAGATAGCCCACTCTCTGTGGTATGGGCAGCTCTGTAGGAAGATTATCTTGGCTATGTTATTCTGGTCCACAAGCCTTCATAAGACCTTAGGGACATAGCTATCTGAGGAGCTCAGCAGCTACCCTCTTTACCTGGGATTTAAGTAGTATCTCTTATAGATGCTCCTATAGAGGCTTTCTAGTTGGCCTCCTCAGTGGTCTTGTGTATCCAGGCTAGTTCTGCTCACAAAGCATAACTATCTGAGGATAGCTGTGCTCTTAACTTGGATGCGATGTTCCCCTTGATCCATTCGGGTTCCCCCATTTCTGCCAAGTTGCGTGAGCGGCCCGTGGCATCAGTGGCATGGCCCTGTCACTTCCTTGGTGCTCTCCCACCAGGTGCACAGTGTTGAGTTCCCTAGAAGGGGAACGTCGCAGGTTGTGCATGTAACCATGGTTCCCCGAGAGGGAACGAGACACTGTGCCCCCTTGCCATACCTTCGGCCTGTTTGTCTACGTCTCCTTCAGACAGCTAAAGTGGATGACGTATTCAGCAGGTGCCCTTTTATACTTCCGGGCATCTCGCCTATGACGTCATGGGCCAGGTGGGCCAATAGATTGGCGTTGTTTCACATGTGCTTCAGACACCGGTCATGCAGGCTGCATTTCCCAATGTGCCCCCTAGGGGGCGCAGTGTCTCGTTCCCTCTCGGGGAACCATGGTTACATGCGTAACCTGAGACGTTTTATCACTGGAAATTGTGACAGCATTATGGTAAAAATGGAACACTATGGCAACAGCTATCTTACCTGTATGGGACACCGTTTTGATTCGGTGGAATTGACAGAATCTGTTTTTTTTTTGTTTGTTTTGTAGTCTTTCAGTTTGAAATGTTGACTACAAACAGAGTTTTTTTTTTTTTCAGATTTACCATCGCTCTGTTCTCACTATATTTATGATTCTTTACTGTCTATAACATGCTGGATCTTTAGCTGGAAACACTCACTCTCACTCACTCTTGCTAAACGTTTACTTTTTAAATTCTTGCATCCAGGAATGATGCCATTATATGACAGAAAGTTTGTTAAGAAGTATTTCCTACTAAACAAAGGCAGTATTTGACTCCGGTCAAGCGTATCCATAGCAGACTGGTGGGAGTGGCCTTGGATGGCAACATGCCCAGTACATTATGGGTTTTGAAGTTTTTCATACCTATTTGGCATGAGGGAGGACATCAGCATTGTTTCTTTGTTTTCCCTATTCAGGTAGCACTGATTTTTTTCACCTTTCTCCTACATAGACAGCCCATTTTGCCAGGAGTGAAGTTCCCCTTTAATTGCAGTAAACACAGTATATTCAGAATCATTTGTGTTAAATGTCTGTGTTTGTTTGTTCACAGTGCCTCCATTAGTGAGGCATGAAGGAGATGCTGTGACACCAGATGATGCAGGAGTTTATTTATGTGGAGTTTGGATCAACAGAGACTCATACAGTTACTCCATTATTAACACTGTTCATCTACATATTATGAGTGAGTAGGACAAACTCAATCAAATCTTGTTTAAACGTTTCTGAAATTTGCAGCAGAGTTGATTAGATGTGATATTATTTAGGAGCAGGAACATGAGCAGTTAAAGTATGATTGTTTACATTATAAACCAAATAGATAAATATATTATAAGCACATTAATGTTGTAATTTACTTGTTCTTTATTTAAAGTGCCTCCAGTAGTGAGACATGAAGGAGAATCTGCTGAGATCATCTGCCCTTATGATTCAATCTATAAATCAAAGCCAAAGTCTCTCTGTAAGGGGAAGTGCTCCACTAGAGACAGAAATACTCTTAATGAGACTGTGAGAGAAGAGAAAGAGACCAAGACTGGCAGATTGACTCTGAATGATAACGTCACTGCACGTGTTTTCACTGGGACCATCACTGGACTGACAGCAGAGGATGCTGGGAAATACTGGTGTGCAGTGACATTAGAAACAGACCTCAATTATCTTTACACTCATCTGATCGTCATCATGAACGAGGGTGAGGAAGGTTTCTGCATCTGAATATGTGAAACTACGGCTGTGAATTGATGTTCTTGTGTCTGTAAACATTTCCAGAGCTGAACTTGACTAAGTATGAAGGAGACGACGTGTCAATCCAGTGCAAACATCATGATGAAGATCAGAAAAGCTTCTGCAAAGCACATGAAGCCTCCATGTGTGTGAAGGATGGAGTTTCATTGGAGACGATCAGAGATGATCGATTCTCTTTCAGTGATGAATCATCTACTGGAGTCTTTACTGTGAACATCACTGATCTGAGAGAAGAGGATTCTGGGATATACTGGTGTGGAACTCACATCACCACTAAAGTGAATTTAAACGTCAGCAAGGATAAAGGTAAGACACTATATTTTATTTGTCATTAATGTGACATTAATATATTGTTTTTGTTGCTCCTAAATTTAATGCAGTAAAACTTGTGGGGTTTTTTTCCACACAACTAGATATTAATATAATAATCGGTCTTGTCGATATAAAAATTACTGACCTACTGCACATCTGGGTCTCTCTACATGGATATTGTATTATTTGAACTTTGTTTTAAACATGTACTGTCAACCACTATTATTTTCAGCAAACTTCTCTGTTTTGTTATTTTCATGTTCCTTGGTTCCTAATAATCTCAATCTCATATAAAAGCTTCCATATAAACCTTTAAAAGCTTTAGTTAACCCAAAGGTTGCGGGTTTGAGTCTCGGTACCAGCAGGAGTTGTAGGTGGGTGGAGTGAATGACCAGCACTCTCTTCCACCTTCAGTACTCACAACTGAGGTGCTCCTGAGCAAGGCACCAAACCCCCAATTGCTCCCCAGGTGCCGCAGCAAAAAATGGCTGCCGTGTGTGTTCACTACTCACTGCTGTGTGTGTGCACTTGGATAGGCACAAATTCTGAGTATGGGTTACCATACAGGTGCATCTCAATAAATTAGAATGTCGTGGAAAAGTTGTGTGCATTGCATTTATTTAATACACGAGTTTCACAATTTGAGTTGAATTACTGAAATAAATTAACTTTTCCATGACATTCTAATTTATTGAGATGCACCTGTATATATATATATTAGGGGTGGGCATTTTTCAGAAATATTGTATTTGAATATTTGGACTCATAAAAATTAATATTACTTTCGATTATTTATTTTAATTACTTTTAACGAGAAAGACATTATTTTTTAATAGTCAAGATTTTGTCACCATTTCTGAATAAGCTTATGATTGCATTATACAAAATGTTCTACAACAACGTTACGTTTTATCTCAAGGTTTTCTTTTAGTTGAAAACGTGTGTAAACAAACAAAACACACACACACACACACGTATATATATAATATAAAGAACAAAAGCATTCAAACTCAAGCAGAGCAAACGGAAAAAATAAAGCAGACTGCCAATTACAGTACAGAAAGTACATACACTCAAGTCTGCCTTTGTTTATTGTGTTTATATTGTTTCACATGTTAAGGTTGAGAAAACAATGATATCCACGTGCTCAGGTGAAAGTTGGCTCCTCAGTCTGATGACAGTAAGAATGCGTTCCAACACATAGAGTTCCAGAGACACAAAGATAACGGTGTGCTGAGCTTCTTACAGCGCTGTGTGTTTTCTGTTCTTAAAGGAAGCTTATGTCGCAAGATCATTTGGCTGTCGGATCAGCTCTCTTCTTGGCTCACTTGGGCTACAGCTGCGCTCACCTGCCATCATGAATGCAGTGATGAACAGCTGTCTTTCCTCAGTCGACTGGTGTTTGGATTTCATGTGATTCTCATTGTGGTGGTGATATTATGATAACTCAGATTCACTGATTAATTTGATCAAAAGTAATTCCATTTTCTAAGATCATTTTGATCAAAGTGATTCCAAACTTCGCGAGGCAGACGACGACATTCTGTGATCAAATACAAAATAAACTTGTTAACGCGCCACAGTGCAACCCAGTGAATTTAGTTATAACTGACTTTTAGTGTGCGTGCTTAGGATTTATCATAGATTCCCTGCATTTACGGCCAGCAAAGCAACATGCAGTAAAATTTGAATAGTGTTTTTATTTTTAGAAAAATAATTACAGATCGAATATTTTAATATATTCTACACACCCCTAATATATATATATATATATATATATATAGGCCTATATGTAAATACATACAAACATACGTACATACATATAACGCAGGTGTGCATTCAAATCATTTAATGCATAGATGGTGCTGCGCGCACACAGAAACATTCAGGAGCACAGAAACTTCCTATCAACGCTGCCCAGCCACTTTTATAAATAAAACAGCTTAACTACTGAATCGCTACATTATATTTCTCAGTAAAAAAAGAGGTAAAATCGCTGTTTTTAAAATAATAACTAAACTCACAGCTTTATTGTTTGTAGAGAGAGATGCACAGAAGCAGGTAATTCACACACTCAACTTGTATCCCTCTCTCTCTCTCTCATTTTAAAATATCATGGAGTATCTTCATATAGCAGTAATAGTAATAGTTGTATGTTAGTTTGCTTTTCTGAATTCAGCCAGCGAAAGATACAAATACAATTGTGGGTTTAGACATGTAAATGTAAATGTTTGTAAATGTCACTTGCTGATGTTGTGTTGTGATATGGTTAAGATCATTATCAGACAGAAAGCAAATGAGACACACTGAAGTGGTGAATCTTTACAGAAGGTTTTTGTATTCTTTAGTAGCATAAAGTGACTGCTTTGTGTTTGCAGGGTTGTTTAATACTGTGGTCAGTGTGCTCAACATGAGATGCTCTTCAGCTTGTGGTTTTCTTTTGATCAGTTTATCTTCTTCGAGTCAAACCAAGAAGCCCTTTAGCCAACAGCATGTGTGATAAAAAAAAAAACAAATGCATATCTTATCATCAGACTTTCCACTCCATAAAAACATGCTGTGAATTTGTTTAATATGAAAAGTTAAAATGTTCTTTATAGTATATCCCAGCTTTAGTCAGGTCATCTGAAATATTTGCTAAAGGGAAGTGTAATCTCAATCTCAAAAGTTTTTGCTAATACAGCAAGTCCAACCAACTCCAGTTGTAAGTGTGCATTATAAAATATCTGCTTTTCAGATGTTTCAAATGCAAAAAAGATGTAAACCTTCTCAGTAGAAGACAGTGAAAAGTGATGTCCAAATCGCAAACAAATCATTCTTTTTATATGCTTCAATAATATAATTGCATAAATATGACATAATTGTGTGATGACATAAACACACACACACACATATATATATATATATATATATACACACACACACACACACACACACACACACACAGTGGTTCATTGACACAAACTGTCAGAGAGAACCAGTTCATGGAAGAGAATTGGACTACCATAACTAAAAAGCAAACCATTCCGCAAAGGGCCAGTGAGGTTTAAGCTTCTACTCTATACGTTTCTACTCTTTCCTTTTCTCCTTATATGGCACTAAATGCCTCATTTCATATTTATGCAGTATATAAATTTGTATATTAAACATTAGAAAATAAAACATTTAAAAAAATGACTCAAACAGTATGTTGTTTGTAATGAATGCCACTGTAACTTATTTCATTTTATTTTAGGTCTACTTACATTTTTCATCCTTTTGTTCTGAATACAACAGTACAACATTTAGAGATGTGTTGTGGAGTAAGGGGATCTAAAATACATATTTATAATGTTTGTAAACATTTCATTTTATCTACTGGTATTTTACATGATTTTTGAATGTAATAATAAAATTCAATTGATATGTGATTTATCTGTTTTTTATTATTATTATTTTTTCTTTCTCTCTCAACTTAAGTTTGACCGGGTGCGACATACTTAGGTGCGACTTAAACTCTGGAAAATAAGGTAAATTAAAATAATTGTGCTGTATTATTAAAAAGTGCATATTTACAGATGGGGACCATTTGTTTCAATAAAACAAGTACATCGTTACTCCCACCCTGTAACTTTGGGTTTAATCACAGTTATTATTATGAGGTGGACCTATAGCCTATAAGGGGTCCCTGGCCTGAAAAGGTTCGAGAACCACTGTGTTAGATGAGGCAGACATCCAAAATGATCAGAGGTGGGCGGTCTTCAGGACAGATTTGAGAAGGACTGCAAAGGGCCTCAGTGAACTTACATGTACGTTTTACTGTCGCCCTCTAATGGAAGATATAAATGATGCAGATCAGTTTACTTCGAGAACATAAAACCTGTTTGAGCTCTCAGTATCAGACAGTGTAACTGCACTAGGTGGCGCTCTTTCAGTGTGATTAATGTGATGTTCAGTCAGTGGTGATGGTGGGAGGAGCCAGTAAAGCTGCTCATTACTGATAAAGAGCTGAATAAAGAGGAAGTAACTAAAGCAGACAGATGTAGAGACAGAGAGATTCACACAGAGATCATTCAGCATAAAGAAGACTGAACTCAACTCACAATGAAGATCCTCCTCATCTTCCTCACTTTCTACCTGATCTCAGGTCAGAGCTTTTCTCTTTCATCACTGCAGTAATGATGCTGTTTTCTGTTCATCAGCTTTCTGATCACAGTATCAATCTGATTGACAGCTGCAGTGAGATGCTTTAGCGTCACGGGATATTCTGGAGGAAGTCTTCTTGTTGATTCTGGGAAACTTTGGTCCAGTGACTCTGCTAAATATATGGCCAAATTACCTGAGTGGAGAACAATAATAAATGATAAGAAACATGATAAATGGATTAATGAAGGAAGATTCACACTTTATCGAAACAGTGAGGGAAACCTCATGATCTTCATCAGAGAACTCAATCAACATGATGCTGGAAGATACGCAATTGATGTTCTTCACAACCAGCGTATATATATGACTGTGAATGTGAAAGAAGAAGAAGGTCAGTCATTTTACGATCAAAGTCTTTTAGTAAAACCACTGATCATGTCAATGCATTTACATTCATAAAATACATTTCGCTATGTAAATCACAGAGTCATGTTGTAAAGTGTCAAAGAGAGTGATGGTGAATATTGGAGAATCTGCCAATTTCAGCTGTGAATATTCACAGAATCATATTAATGATCCCAAGATCATATTCAAAGAAGAAAAAGACTCCATTGAGATGATTTACAGCAGATGGAAGAAGAAAGAAAGATTCAGTATTTCTGATGATGAACATAAACACATCTTCAGTGTGAGAATCACTGCTGTGACACCAGATGATGGAGGAGTTTATTTATGTGGAGTTTGGATCAACAGAGACTCGTACAGTTACTCCATTATTAACACTGTTCACCTACATATTATGAGTGAGTAGAACAAACACTTAAGTCAAATTGGGTATAAATGTTTCTGCAATCTGTGTTTGTAGCAGATTTGATTGTGATATTTGTGATTGACAGATAAAGTGGGTGTTTTTAAAGCAGGCATGTCCAATCGAGTTTAGCTCCAATAATTAAACACACCTGAACCAGCCAATCAAGGTCTTCAGAATTTCTAGAAACTTCCAGATAAGTGTGTTGGAGCAGTTTGGAGCTAAACCTTTGGAAGCAGGATTGGACGCCCTGGTTTAGAGATAATGAGCTGAAGGTTCAGAGTCTCAGTTTAATATGGCTATAAAGAATTAACGGTCTTTATTCAGGAAACCCACAGACCACACGAGACTCAACAGAGCGACGAAGCCGAACCTGTACAGTTCTGCAGAAGAGAGACTGAAATACACTCATTCAACTGCAGAGTAGTGCAGCTTTTATATAGAATGAAATACTGTACATATGAAGCTGTGCATGACAACTCTCAGTGATGTTGGTCAGTAAGAGATCATCAGACGACGCCAAAGCCATGCTTTAAATGTTTCATTTATGTACAATTTGTTAAGGCTCACAGTTGCTCTTTATTTATAACCTGTAAGTGTTAAAACAGATATTTGTATTGGATATAAAACATGCTGAGTTGGATTTCATGTTCAACTTTATCAGAATCAGAGCAGCTTCATGCTACAGATTAGACATCACTTTAACTCATGTTCTTGATAAATGTGTGAATTGAACATAAACATCATCATTTAGAATATTTGTGTAGATATTATTTCAATTATGTATACTGTATCTCTTTAATTATTACTCTTTTGGTGTGTTTTATTCTCAGATTTCTCCGTGATCTCCATTATTAGTGTGTGTGTGATTCTGCTGCTGATCGGTGGATTCACTCTGACTGTGTGCAAATTAAGACACAAGAGACGAGGTGACACACACACACACAGGCCAGTTCACTCACAGTTACCCACAATCCCCTCTGATGAGCTGCTGTACGCTACAGTTTCTCATCCCCACTGAATATATATATATATATATATATATATATATATTTGCAGTACTGTGGAAGTCACTGGCTACCATCAACAGTTTGGCTACTGACATTCTTCAAAAAAAATTATTTTGTGTTCAACAGAAAAAAGAAACTCGTACAGGTTTGGAACAACTTCAGGGTTAATAAATTATGACAGAATTTTCATTCTTGGGTGAACTATTAATTTAACACTAGCTGAGATGATCCATGATGACGATACACGTGAGGCTCAATGACATTACATGTAGTTTCTTCTCCTCCTTTCTCTTTATATGTCAACCTGACTGAAAACAAAGTGCACGGGTGAATTATTTCAACAGTGCCCTTACTTCAAAGTGTACAACAAGTATTTAATTAGTAAACTATCAGTATACCTATAAGTTATAGTTGCAGTACAAACTAAAAACAGATGTAAACTAGTTGTGTACTCAAAGTTTACTACTGTTATACTTAAAGCATATTTAAATGTATACTTTTATATACTAGAAAGTGGGCCAATTTAGTCCCTATGAGTATTGGAATAGTACACTTACAAGTATACTACTAGTACACTGATATTTGTATACTTACTACATAAAGTATATTTAAGTATATACTTGAACTTTACTTAAGTATACTTAATAAAATAAACTTGAAGTATACTACTTTTTGATAAGGGTGGTGTATATAAAGGATGAGGAAATCACTTAAATTTGAAACTGTTTCTCACACAAAACTTTTTTTATGGCTTCGGAAGACTTGCAATATGGATCACAAAGTGTAGGGACAACTTGTATGGTACTTTATTCCTCTCTGATGGAGTTTCACATCAGTGGCACAACTAAGTCAGTCTGGGGCTCATGAATTTGCCACAGTATCATCACATAAACATTCCTGAAGACTAAGAAAGTGTCTTATTTGACAGTTTTAAGCCCTTAATTGTCTGCTTTGTGTCTCTAGCTGTCTGTACCTTATCCACAGTGATCATTTATTTGCATTTTCAAAAATCATAAATCTTACGCATGCATAGACAGCACAAAACTTGGCCGAGACCGTAAGCACAATCACAGTCTGATATTTTCATGTATTTCAGTTTATTCTTGTAAGCTGTAGGGCAGTGGTTCTCAACCCGTGGCCCGTCACAAATGCAAATGCGGCCCACGATGCTGACCACGTAAAAAAAATAATAATAATAATAATCATTAATTAATTAATTAATAACTTATAATTTTACAATTCATATTTTTTTTTCAAATGTATTAAACAAATAAAAGTTTGAACAATCATTTTTTTGTCATATAAAAGAATTTTGGTGATCATGTACTGTTTTCAGGTATGTGCAGTACTGACGCAACTATGAACTGACGCAATTACACAGTTAACGCACACAATTACAAGCGCGCGCTTTGGCAGATTTAAAACAGTCACCAATTAATGATCAAAATGGACAAATTTGTTATTAGAGGAGAAAAAAGATGTGAGGAAAATACTACCCAGCCAACATTTGTATGTGGGGCCCATATGGGTATGAACTGGGCTGAAAAATGGGCCCCATATAGGATTGTCCGCGGGTTCCATAATGGCCCCATGTCAATTGCCCACATGGATTTCATATGGGATTGCACTTGTCACAAGGTGGGACCCAATTGGGCAACATGCATCAGAGGTGGGACTTTCAAGTCGCAAGCAGGTCTTCAAGTCATATCCCAAGTCCTCAAAGAGTTAAAGTTAATCAGATAATTAAGTGACTAATTAAATGATTGAGCATTAGCTTGTGGTCAAGGTTTGCTTTAGTTGGGCTCTTGACCCTTATACTAATTCAAAGTAATTTGATTCTAAGCGATTGCAATTTTGTTTCACAGCAAACATTTGTGCATTTGCTGAATCAAACCTTGAAGTACCAGATGAGCTTAGATTTTCTGCCTATAACTCATGACTAATGAACATCATAAAGTGGTCTCTCTTTGGTTTATTGGCTGACATTCAGATATTACTGAACTGTGAAAAAAGAAAAAAAGTCCCCCTAAACAAATGCCACTGTAGTGCTTCAATATTGAAAAAAAAGAAAATGGTGTCAACTCAGGCTTTTAGACATGAACACTTATCATATGATCCTCAACAGTGGTGACAATAATTATTCATACTGCAGTGCATGATGGGAGTTTTTACTATGGTGTTACCCAGCATGCATTGCAGCATGAAGCATTTTGTTGATTGTCACCATTGTTGAGATTCATATGCTGGTTCTTGAAGTCTGTGTGTGTCTAAATAGCACTGGAGATCATATTTTTATATGCATTATAAAGATTTAAAAATGCATTAATAGTGACTATTAGAGTAGCACTTTGTTTTACATGCTGTAGTTTCACAGCGTTGATTATGCAAAACCTAAACATATAACATTTTTGGATTGTAATCACGTCAGCTCATTGACTATCTCATCACATTAAAACAGCTAATACCTGCTCACTGCATCACAACACTTCATGCATGTTTATAAAGAAATATCTAACACTGGAGTCAAGGGTCAAGAGCCCAACTAAAGCAAACACTGATCTCCATGATGGTGACATCATTTTAACCAATAAAACATCAACATCTGATCCTCTGTAATTCTCAATAACAGCAGGTGTTCATCACTAATGCACAATCATCATTTAATTAGTCACTTAATTATCTCATTAACTTGAACTCTTTGAGGACTTGGGATATGACTTGAAGACTTGCTTGTGACTTGAAAGTCCCACCTCTGGAAGGAACACATGCAAACAATAAGAGTATCAGCAGTGAAGGTAGGAGAGTGCTTGAAGAATGGAAGAATCAGTTTGCTGTCAACGAGCGAGATGGACGGCCTTTCTGCTTGCTCTGTAGTAAAATACTGGGTGTTTGCAAAACTTACGATCTCAGAAGGCATTTCGATACCACCCATGCAACTTTTGACAATAATGATCCACCTGGATCTCAGGAAAGAGCTCTCAAGATAACTAGTCTTGAAAAAAATGGCATTGCTGAACAGAATACAATGCAAGCTAGCTTAAAAGTGTCTCAGGCCGTGACATTAGCAACGTTTAAAATTTCCTGGCTCCTTGAAACACGGCAAACCATTCAGTGATGGGGAGCTAGTTAAGAACCGTTTTCTGGAATCACAATGTCTGTTTGATGATCTGAGCAACAAGAGTGAGATCATTCACAGGATAAAAAGTTTACAGCTCAGCAATGACAGTTACTCGTCAAATTTCTGAAATGTCTGAGAATTTGACAGAACAACTAAAAACTAAGCTAGCCACTGCTTCAGCACTCAGTTTGGCTGCGAATGAATCGACAGACATCGGAAATGTTGCTCAGCTTTGCATTTGGGAGAGATGTGTGAATTCTTTTAAAAGGGACTTTTGAGGTTACAGAAGATTTATTGGCGTTGAAATCGCTACATGAACGAACAAGGGGCGAGGACATTCATAGAGCACTTAGTGAAGCATGCAATGACATGAACATACCGGCATCCTCAGTTGTCTCCATCACTACTGACGGTGCGCCCTCAATGACGGGAAAACACAAGGGTCTCGTTGCTGAAATGCGAAAAATCTGCCCTGACTTGTTGGCATTTCACTGTATTGTGCACCAGCAAGCACTATGCAGCAAGTTAGTTGATGGATACTTCGTGGAGGTTATGGACACCGTGGTCAAGGTGGTTAACTTCATTCGAGCGCGGCCTCTAATGCACCGCCGTTTTATTGCGTTGTTGGACGAAATTGACAGTGCTTATGGAGATCTCATTCTGCACAGTGAAGTGAGATGGCTAAGTCGTGGAAAAGTCTTGCATCGCTTTCTGGCTGTACTCCCCGAGATAATTCACTTTCTTAATGACATCGGCGAGACAGAAAGATTTCCAGTGTTGAGAGACAATGAGTGGAAAACAAACGTTGCTTTTCTTGCAGACGTCACAGCTCACCTAAACAAGCTGAACCTGCAACTTCAAGGTGACGAAAAACATGTTGATGACTATGAGGTTCCATTTGTGTCAAAAATGAGTCGACTGCTTTGTGCTTTGTACTATACATTTGTCTTTGTCTACAGTCATTGCCTACTTGTTCAGGTAAATCAGTATATGTTGGCGTGTATGTTGTCTGTTGACGTCGTCTTAATCTGTCGTCCTGCCTGCTTTTTCTCTATCATTTAATTACTGTCGTCCTTATTGTCGTTTTTGTTCTGTCATCTTGTTCTGTCGTCCTAACTGTCGTCCTGTTCTGTCATCTGTACTGTCATCTTATTCTGTCGTCCTGTTCTGTCGTTCTAACTGTCGTCTTGTTCTGTCGTCCTTACTCTCGTCTTTACTGTCGTCTTATTCTGTCGTCCTTACTGTCGTCCTAACTGTCATCTTATTCTGTCCTCTTTACCATCGTCTTGTTCTGTCGTTCTAACTGTCATCTTATTCTGCTGTGCTTAATGTCGTCTTGTTCTGTATGTATAACCAAAAATCAGTCGCGGTAAAGTTAGTTTCACATTTCATATTCGACTAGGCTGCTTTAGGGACTGTCTGCAAATTTATCTCACAGTACAAAACGAAGTATAATAATTCATTCAAATTAATGTTTAGAAAAAATACCACTGTAATTCACCAAAAAAAGGCTTTTTCATGTTCCAAAGGTTGTAGTATGTTCCTAGATACTGACATGTGATATTCTGGCAGTATCTCTTGTCATATAGGCCTATGTACAGTACACAATTATTTTCATAAAAATTACTGTACGCAAAGTTTTTTTTGTAGGTTGTAGTACATTTGCAGTTACAAGACTGACTTATGAGTTGTAAAATTTTGCTCATACCTCCTTTACTGTATGTACAGTACACAAATATTTTTAGAAAAAAATATAGTAATTTATCAATAGGTTTTTTTTTATGTTCCAAAGGTTGTAGTACATTCCTAGTTATGAGACTGTCTTACTACAGGTGATATTTTGCCAATATCTCCTTTACTGTATGTGCAGTACACAAATATATTTTTAAAAAA